GGTGTGACGGGGATTTGAACCCGCGACTCTCTGATTGCGAGTCGAGCGCCCTAACCACCTAGCCATGCCGAGCCCAATATATGATAGTAACTAACTATTGTCTGTAAATCGTTCGGTATAGATGCGCCGTGAATTTCATAACTTCACACACGACCCGTGTAAACAAATATTACAAAATTTATTTGGCGGATGTCAACATGTAGTTAAAAAAGTAAGTACATCGGAGGTCGAGCGTCTGCAAAGCCCCAATAGGTTTTACTAATGTGTAGACAAGTGATTATAAAAAAAATCCACTATAACCTATGTCCGTAATTTGAAACTTTAAAAAAAATTATACTAGAGAATCTCTCTATATTGAGACGAAATTAAACAAATCCCCTACAAGTTTTTCCCCATGGTGACAGATCTTTGAAAATCCCTACTAAAAGTTACAATTGTGTTGACACATCATGTGAATCTTACTCCTGGAGCTTAAAGTCTTCAGTGCCAAGAAACGTTGGCAAGACTGCGTATCTCGATTATTTTCTTCACGTGCAGTAGTATATTTATTCACGTTTCGCACACAGCACGGTTTATCAAAGCACACACAAAAAAAAAACACCGTTAAAAATGATATGATAAAGAAATATTGTTTTTTTTTCTTAAAGCCACATAAAGAAATTCCTCTTTTAACAAAACGTAGCTTACCATAAAAAAAGTTTGCAGAAAAATATTTGAAAATGAAATTGATGTATACTTAGGTTTCCTCTCAACTTTTCTTTTAATTCATACCAGAGAAATAAACATTTTAAAATTAAAATGTCATTTAGATTTACTTGTAAAGCACCCCTTTTCACAACTTTCAGAATTTTTGCACAAAGCTACACGAGGGTTATCTGTGTATAGCCGTCTCAACTTTTGAACTGATAGACTAGTGTAAAGGCCGCTATGTGACAACACACAGACTGACAACTCTTGAGTTACTTACTAGCTTTTGTCTAAGCGAAGATTAAAACTTGACCGTCACTTTTATAGTACACCAAGAGCCACAAAGTGTGGAGCGTTTTTTTTTTGTTTGTTTTGCGGGAAGAGGACGCGAACAAGGAATCCTGTGATTTACAGTCCGAGCACGCTAACCAATAGGCCATTCCCAGCACTCAAAACTTATTAAAGTGGTTTATTCAGCTCGTTAACAAAAATTTATGGATACATCAGTATGTCCTTCACTAACTAAGAAGTTTGAATGTGAAAAAGAATAAAAATTATGTATTTGTTTCAGAAATTCGCGTAAAGCTATATAAGTGGTATCTGCATTAGCCATCCCTAATTTTGAACTCATATAGAGTAGAAGGAAGGCAGTTGTTAGTTAACAGTGGGATTTAACTGTCACTTTTATAACGCGCCCAAGGCCCAAGTACAAAGCGTGATTCTGTGCAAGGGAACGCCTAGGATTCCTAGCCCTCACACTCTAATCATTAGGCCACGCCCAGCCTTCGTCTCTGCGGGAAATTTCGGCAAGACCAGCATATACTACTTTGTCATATATACAAGGATTGTTTGTTTGTAGTTAAACACAAAGCTACACAATGGGCTATCTATGCTCTGCCCACCACGAGTATCGAAACCCGCAGACATACACTGTGCCACTTGGGGGCATATACAAGGAACTCAGAAGCTTCTGCTAAACGTTGCTTATCCTGGAATATAAACTTCCAAATAATTCGTTCACTCTCAAACGCCAATAACGTTATCGATATAACTTAAATAAACTGCATAAAGTGGAGGGACTGAGCTTCAAGATCGCACACTTATGAATCTGAAAACGACGTGTTTTCTTTCTTTATTTTTTTGATGCAGTTAAATGCTTACTTTTTAACGAGTTCCCATATATATAAGGTACCATAAAGATCCTGATTGGAAAACGTGTTTCTGCATTCCCCTATAGATACTCAGAAAAGTGGAAAACGAAAACCTCTTAAAAATTACATGTTTACGGGGGATCCACTAAATATTTGTTCATCTATCAATAGAGCAGGTTTACGCTTTTGCACACGAACTATGTAAGTATTGTGCCAGATGAGTAAGGGAAACTACGTGACATTTCACGTGTCCAAATGAGCGCGTTGAGTGAAATTTGCAGATCTTGTGTAAAGATTCTGTCACCATAATAAAATAAACAAGTATAAGGTCGATTACTTTACTCGGGTCATTTCGGAAAAGAAAACCTGTGCTGCCCAGACAAATGGGTAGAAAATTAACACCTAAACAAATTCAACGTACCAACAAGTCGTGCGAATTTAGCATGAGTGTTTGGCTTGAAAAGTGACATAAAACTAAACCAGAACAAAGAGTTTATTTTTCTGGCAGTTCCCATAGCGTTTCAGAAATTCTTCAACACTGTTGCTAGAAAAAAATCACCAGAGGATAATAAAGACAAGAAGATCATTAGATAAGCTCAAGGTGTCAAAGTTAACACCTTACATTTAAATTTAGATTTGGGGACTGGTCCAAGTTTGCCTAGATACGTGCACAAGCTTTACTGTGCATTACACAGAAAGCATTACTAGCGACAGGAAACTTATTTAGCCCAATAACTACTTTTTGTCTTTTTTTTTCGTTTAGTTTTCCTCCTTTTTTTTCTATTCGTTTGGCCCCCTAGTGGCACAGCGGAATGTCTGCGGACTTACAACGCTAGAAACCGGGTTTCGATAATCCGTGGTGAGCAGAGCACAGGTAGCCCATTGTGTAGCTTTGTGATTAATTCAAGAACAAATTCTATTAATTTGAAATAAATATCCCATCTCCTCTTTCTCGTGTTCCTAAGCAACAGTGAGAGTTAACAGGAGCAGTTTCTTACTGTATCTTTGTCACGTACTAGGAATCCCGAGAAACGAAGAGAGAACAAAGATGACCAAGAAAGTCGTTTGTCATTCTCTCTAAAGTAGGGCCGAACATTTATCTCCTCTGAGTTTCAACCAAAGAGATAGCAAAAAAAAACGCAATTCTCTATACCCAAGCGTCATATATATATATATATACAGTCACAGATACAACCCTAAACCTTTTTGTAAGTACTGAAGCGCTACCAGATAGCTAAAACTGAGTGCAATATTCTAGATGTCAAATTAACAACTTACCATCTTTACAGACGATTTATTGTTTGAAAATATATATTTGAGACACATTCTAAAATTAGATGAAATCAATTTTTAAATAAAAAACGACATAGTTAATTTTTGTTAATAAATTCGAATATACTGACAAAATATTCTCTAATATAATCCCCCCCCCCCCCAGTGGCACAGCAGTATGCCTGAGGACTTACAACGCTAGAAACCAGGTTCCGATACCCGTGGTGGGCACATTTTGTTCATTGTGTAGCTTTGTGCTTAACTTCAAACAAGCTAACTAACATCATTTCTAACGGCCTTCTTGAGCTTTCGAGAATGCAATCCACTTGCTGTGTCTTAGGAGGCAATACTTAATGTGTGATTATACTTCTCAAGATTTATAACGTATTTGAAACTCAAATGAAATCTATCGTCCCGAAAATAAAAATATGATTTTTTTTCAATAATTTCTGTTCAATTTACATTAGGTCATTGTTATAACCTGTTTGGTCACATAAATTTCCGCCTTCATTTTGTACATTTTTTGGTACTTAAATATGTATGATTTGACAGAGCTATTACAAATAATTGGTGTTATTATTTCACAATCTGAGGCAAAATGGTGAATGAAATAATAGTCAGAAACCTTCCAGAATCGAGATTATATATTATCTCAACACGTATTGAGGAAAGAATTTTGTAGCTGTATATCAGAGATGTGACATTTGTTCTACACGTGTTGAGTAATTAATTATTCTGCACTGTTTCAGTCGATTTAAGACAGGAATAAATTGCTTTATAAGTTATTCTTAATTCTCCTATTAAAATTTAATTCGGATTATTTCAAACGTTAAAATCCTTAACTTTGTTTTAGATGTTCAATAAGTGGGCTTCATCAATGAGACTAAACTGGTGGAGAAAACAGGTAGATTATAAGGACTGAATCACGGAGGGAACAGTTGACGTTAAGAAGATATTAACATGATATTTGTACCTTTGAACCACTAGAATCGGTGCTGTAAGATTTTTTTAATGACGATTCTGTTCGAGACGATCTGCTGTACGCAGTTGTTCCTGTGTCTTCACTGCAGACTGAAACAGAAGAATGAGAGGCAAACTTAGATTTACTGGAAGACTGGTAGGAATAGCTTTCGTCTTTTTCTGTCAAGGCTGAGGAGAGGCGGAGAGCAGAAGAAGTCGACTCGTCCTCGTCTTTTAAGTGAGAGGATCGATAACTTTTGCTTAGTAAGGAACTGTCAGAGTCCTCATCTCGTGAGCTGAACCGCGAGGAGTGCCGAGTAGACGATAATGAGCTTTCTTCGTCCCGTAAACGTGAGGAACGACGATACGAAGATAAACCCGAGTCGTCATCTTCGAGCTGAGAAGGACGAACTGAACGACGAACACTTGAAGTTAAGTCGTCATCTAGACCAGTAGCACCACGACTAGATCGTCGAATGGACGATAAACTGTCGTCAGTATCATAGAGGGATGATGATGTGCGTGATGAGGACCGAAGTGATGAAGAGTCCGATAAGTCTGGAAAAAGATACGTGTATAAATCAACGCGTTTTAATTTTTCACAACAAATAAGACAGAATAGAATTATTTTGAAAAATCATATACAACACCAAACCAAAAAAACTCTGTCATCTAAAAAATATATGAATGCATCAATAGTAGGATAATAGATTAGAAAATAAAGCATAACAGTTAGCAAATGGGTAATAACTCTTTACGTGCTTCAAAATTCAGCAAGTTTCTTCCAGTAAGTACTATGACATTTCAATATCCTACAATTTTAAGACACTTAGTTGTACATTTCACGAATAACTTCTAGGAGAAGCAAAATATTTTGCTTGGAAATCTTGTTTTTGACTATGTTTTTGTTACGACATTGGGATTTTCAAAATATTCACGATCTGTTTTATACCTTGATCTAACCACACGCTTCGGAACAGATCCAAGAAACAATGTCATCAAGAAATGATGAAACTACTCGTTTTGTGCATGAATCTCAGCTTGTAAACCTACGTTACAAATTTCAATTGTATACACACCAACAAATAGTCAGTCTTCTTTACCTTAAGATTTAAAAATTTTCAAGTACATTGAAAACACAACTGTAAATGGTTACACACCAACAAATAATCAGTCTTCTCTATTTTAAGATTAAAAAAAAAAGTTTACAGGTACATTGAAAACACAACGGTAGATGGTTACAAGCCAACAAATAATCAGTCTTCTTTATCTTAAAAGTTAAAAAAATAAGTTTACAGGTACATTAAAAACACAACTAGAGATGATTTACACGCCAACAAATAATCAGTCTTCTGTATTTCAGCACGTTTATAAAAAAAAGCAGATGGGCAAACAAACAATCAGTCATATGTATCTCAAAGCGTCAAGAAATCAAATGTCTTCACTCGTACATTAAAAACAAAAGTTTACCAGTCAACAAGTAATTAGTCCTCAAGACGTTAAACAAAGAAAGCGTTTAAAGGTATATCGAAAACAAAATCAAATCGTTTACTAGATATTTCACTATTAATCGGCTCGTTTCTTCTTCTTAATAAAAGAGTTACAGTTTATGTAAACTTGCTATAATGATAATAGTACCTTTATTTCCCATTCAGTCGGAACACAAAATATATTTAATACAACATATGTACACTTACTATCGCTATATCGGAGAGAAGAAGATTTGTACGAAGACCTGGAGTAAGACATAACTGTTGTGTCACGGCCTTCCTGTTGATTTGAAATAAAAAAGAAAAGGAATTCAACTGTTAGCAAACATATATTACAACGGAAAACATAAGCCTAATATTATATACTGATGATCAAATAAAGAAAAACATTAGGACAAACTGCATCATAAAAATAGAATAAACTGAGAAGTGATATAAATTTTCGGGGCAGCGCCCAGTTTTACAACAGAGTTGATTGCACGTTTTATTACGTATCTGTTATAAAATTATTTTAATTGAAATGAAACTTTTATAATTCCCCATTATTATTTATTGACTTATTTACATTTATATATAAATCAATATATATATATACATTTTATACATACTAGTTTAAAAACACATTTATTTTGTTGGTTGGTTGATTACTAAGCGCAAAGCTAAACAATGGGCTACATGTGCTGTGCCCACCACGGGTATCGAAAACAGTTTTTTTTTTGCGTTATAAGCCTTCAGATTTATCGCTACCCCAGTGGTTCAACGCTAAGCCTGAAGGCTTTAACGCTAAAAACAGGATTTCGATGCCCGTGGTGGGCAGAGCAAAGATAGCCCATTGCAACCTATGTGTTTAACAACAAATAAACGTACAGATGAGCCACTGGAAAGAGGTAGGGTGAATAAAAGAATATTGAAAATAATCTTAAAAACCATGTGATGTCGCTATAGTAAGTATCGGAAGCCTCTCAATACAGGATTTTTTTTTTTTAATTTACATTTCAACCCACTTCTGATACAATGTCCAGATTTTGATTAAATGTATATGGCCATTTAACCGTAATAGAAGCATCTGTATCTTCCCGGCTTGTAGTTATAAGATGGAGGCTGACAACGTAAAACATCAGTGGATTTTGGTAAGACAGAATAACCGATGACATCATTAATTCCTACATGTTAAAACAGCTGATTCTATATCACGAGGGCCCGGTATGGCCAGG